AAAAAAAAAAAAAAAAAAAAAACAGCGTACGTTCTTTGAGACAGAGAGAGAGAGAGAGAAAGAGAGAAGCGACGAATGAAAAAGTCACGTAGATCGCTTTGGTCGATGATGACGGAGGCCATGCTGCTGTTGCTGCTCGCAGCAGCAGCCGTCGAGACATCGAATTATCGCGAAGTTGCCTAGCGGCCCGGAATACCAATGAATTCGCATCGGACAACACGGGAATATCGGCTGGCTGCCGGACGTCCTGCTGGCGAAACGTCGCGCCATTTCCTCGATCCTCCTTCCGGAATCCCCTTCTTAATCGACTCCCTTTTGATGTCATCCTCCATTCCCTCCGTTTTCTTTTTCTTTAAATCGATAACACACTGGACTATTACGTACAGGGTGTCCCAGCACCGATTCGTGATTCTACAAAGAAGAAATATGCCGAGAAGAAGGGACAAAATTTCGTTTCTCGAGCAAGTTTGAAAAGCTTCCCGACAACATTCGAATTCTTGATTCGTGATTGAATTGAAACAGTAAAGATATAAAATAATTCAGACGTGTAAGCATCGTGCAAACGAGGATGAAGCGAGTCTACGCTACAAAGTTCGTTCGAAAATCAAGCTTCGAGATTCGTCGATAAATTTAATTAAAAAAAAAAGAAAAAGAAAGAAAAAAACGGTAAAGCCGATTTAAAAGTAAAGTGTCTTACGCCGTATTCTCGAAATAAACGGCACGATCGATAGCATCAACCAAACGATACCGAGTTAAAGATCACCAAAAAGAGTACAAATAAATATTTCAACTGGAAATTGAAAAAGAGTTAATGGACCTCCGTTCGATGCTGTCCCATCCTTCTCCTCTCTGCCGCAAGAAGATTTTCTTCCCTCGGCCAATGGAATTACCAGCTAGTGGCTGGCCCGTATTCACAAAGGAATAACATAACGGATATTTTCTGGACACTTTGCCCGGGATCCAAACGACTCGATAAATCGGGGGCCGGCCGGTCTGCTCGAAATTTGCCAGGGATAAGCGAAACCACGGCGACGATCTGCATTTCATGAAAAAGCCCCTTTGTTGGGGAAAGATCCCGGTGTGGCAGGTCCCCTGCAGCAAGTTTAGATTTATTCGGAGACGGGGGGAAGGGGAGGGGGTGAGTGTGGAACTTTGTTGGTATGTACGTTATCCTGGTTACTTTGCCCGGGACTTCTCCTCAAGGCGTTTCCGGCCCGTGGTTTCCTATTTCTAGTTTGGAGAATTTCTTTGTACGATGTTTCCGTTTCCTGGTTCTCTCTCAACCGGGGATAAACGCTTCTTTTCGGGGCGTTCTTCTCCCGCGGGGGTTTCAGGCATTTGTCGATCGCCGTGTTGCGCTCGTCCGCTCGTAGCGGAGTCTGTCCATCTCTCCGCTCGACAGAGAGAGAGAGAGAGAGAGAGAGAATCAGATTTTCAATTTTTCATTTCGCAAAAGATTTGATTTCTGTCTGTTCGTGTGTTTGACTCACGTTAACCTCTTGCGCTGGAATGACGTGCCACGAACGAAATATATTTAAATATAACCCCAGGCAAAACAAATAATAAATTTAGTAATTCTTCATAATTTCTATCCAGTGTTGTCATACCGATACGAGTTGAAAAAGAAAACGACGAATTATTGTATACAGGTTTGGTCACTCGTTATGGCCCGCCAATCAGTTGCCAGCGCAAGAGGTTTTTCTTATTTATTTATTTATATACAGAGACTGATAATTTTGCAAGGAGACTGCGCATCATCAGATGGAAAATAGAGGAAAGAATTTCAACCTTAATTGAATTTTACTTTGAATTTCGCGTTTGTTGAATCGATTGCGAGAGATTTCATTTTCTGCCTGTTTGACTTATCGGAGACCGATAAACTTCGTATGTCGGTCACGTATAAATCTGTGTACATGTTATCAATATTTGTATTATTAATAGTACACCGTGTTATTTGTCTGACGAACGAAACTCTCGCGATGGATAAAAGATGCAGATTATTATGTTTCTCATTGCGAATTACAGATTGACAGATTGAGAACACTGTCCAATATTTGCAAAATACATCATACTTTTTACTCTGCAATAATTCGTGATCTTTAATTCTATAATATTCTAAAATTTCCAGAAATCAAATTGATCGACTCTGACATCTTTCTATCAGTTTTTTTTTTTTTTTTTAAATTTAACTATCTGTTGCGATTAGTGTTCAGCTTTTTAAAAGAACAATTTCATTTCTACCAGTTTATTTTATTCTTCACTTCTCACAGACAGACTGTGTTTTTCTATTTTTTTCAACTCTTAGATTTGCAACATTCTGTATCGTCAAATTCGTTTCATTTCATTCACATCAAAATTTGTTTCATTTATTTGTTTATACTGCGGATTTTTATTCATTTGCGGACAATTTGAAGATACAAGGAAATTCTAAGAATTCGTTTGGTACTTTATCCTCAATTAATAAATAAGAAATTAATAATTAATAAATAATAAAAACGTAAAAAATTATACCAAATTATTATATTATATCAAATACTGTATTATATTATATTAAATACTACATTACATTTTATCATATTCAATGTTGTATTAAAACTATAAAATATAATATTCAATATTACATTAAATTATATCATATATTATATAATATAATATTATTAATGTAAACTAGAACTACCAAAATGATCAATTTATAACTTTCGTTACGAACTTTACAACCATAAAATAACACATTTTTAAAAATTTAAATGATTTTTCGAAAAA